AATCATCTTTATTAATTATTAGTAATAACCCCTCCTACTTTACCAGCCAACTTTTCACAAAAGAGAAATGATTTTGTAATCTTTTATTTTTAATTTTGACTTTTTAATAGAAATATTCATTTTTAAAAAAAATATCTTTTTATCCAAATTATAAGGGATTATTTTCTCTATCCCCATTCTGTAAAATACATCATTAAATAAGATAGTGATGTAATCATTAATTTAGGAAGGTTTGCTAGCTTGAGTGATAAGATTGTATAAAATAGAGAAGTATTATTAATTTTTTTTTGAATAAGCAGGAAAATTACAATTTAATTTCAAATCTTTATTTACAAAGTTAAAAATATCAATTCAATCATTTTAATTTTAACAAAAACTCTGAATCAAATCATGAGCACTACTTAATGACACAAACAAAAAATCTGAAAAATAAGCCTACATTATTATGAAAAAATGTAGGCGACTTGAATAAAGATGATAAAAAATAAATATTTGCCTTTTTTTAAAAAAAAAAAAAGAGGGTAAAAGTGGGAAGAAGAAGTAGGAAAAAAAGTTGAAGAAGATTTGGGAAGATGAAATAAATTGAACATGGGAGATGAAGTAAGTTGAACATTTGATGAGCAGAAGTTGGAAGAACATGGGAGATGCAATAAGGTTAACATGTGATGTAAATTACTACTATTTAAATGTGAAGAACAACATTTTTTGGATTGAAACTGTCATGCCCCGAGGCTATCCCCTTGACGTAACACGGGACCTAGGATCACGAGTGACCCCAAGCTAACCCTGTGTCTAGCATATATCAAGCATACTGAGAATAACTGAATAAAAAGATATACTATGCAGAAGCTAAAACAACGGATAACTGAAAATGGGAATACCCAACTAGTCTGAATGTATGAAACATACTAAGAGTTTAATAACAACTGAAAGATAACTTAACAAGACAAGCTGATTCTACTACTATGTCTGAAAAAGCCTTTAACTGAGTCGAGTTGCTGGGACATGCCCCCAAACTAACTCTAACAAAACTGAAACTGAAATGTAAATCATGTCTATTAATATCCTCGAAGTATAAGGACTCACCACTGAAGTTGCTAAATGCGGACCGATAATCGATCTAAGCATGATTTGGATGCTGAGTACCTGAACCTACATCATGAAATGATGTAGCGCAGAGTATGCATCAGTACTTGGAATGTACTGAGCATACATGATATAGATACTAAGCTGAACAAAGCATAACTGAGCAATGACATAAATTGAGCGAGAATGTAAATACTGAAACATAACTGAAAAGCTAAACTGAATGCAATGACCAAGTGCTAATCATGAACATGACATGCTAAAATAAATACTGAAGTATATACTGAAAACCTGGTCAAATGCACTAGAAGTCTAACTGTAGGAGATACTATTAATCGACATAAAACCACGTGAGCTAAACGTGGAGTCCGATGTATATGTCCCATCGAGACGACCCAATATACCTTGCCAGGGGTATAAAGGCATGACTGGCATGGTCACTAAATCTGATGCCCAACAGAGGGGACTTATACTCCTACGGGGGCACGAAGTTCTGAGACTATAAGGGTACGCTGAACCCTAGTACAATGGTATACATAACCATCAATCTTATCAATGGTGGTAACCACAACATTTTCATCAAACTTTGCTTTTTTAGGTCTAGGTCTCTGTGGATCTTCATTGTTACTAACATAGCCACTCCGAGCCTTTAAAATCCCATAATTTCATAGGAGTGAAGCATATCTCATGCGAAGGATTTCAGAACTAATTCCATAAAATGGTACTTGTAGTCCATCAATGAAAAACCCAGCGTATGCAGCAACAAAAAGTCCACGATCTCTGCATGGTATATCATAAATTAGAAAATATAATAACATCACATTTCAATAGTGGTAAGACAAAAAAAATAATGTGATACTTACAGACTATTGCTTGCTTATTGGGCAATATCAGTAACATGTCTGACTTCGAATGGGTAAGATTTGTTCTTTCCTTGGTAAGATTTAACAACTGAACAGTTGGTTTGATCTTTTTGCTCATAAAATCCGTTGGATTCAAGGCACTTTGGCAACAATGTAGACAACTTTTGAATCTCGGCGCACAATTTTCTGTTAGTCCTAGATGAGGACATCGAATCATACATCTTTATGCGTCGTTCATTCAATACAACGACTTTCAAGACCCAATGAAACTCCCCATTACAATGACATAAACCTCATCTGTGAGGTGCCAAGGCAGTCCAGCAGGTATACCAAACTCTTTGATAGTGCTAACGATTTTATTCTCATATTCAGGAACAACACTGCATTGTCAATGTATGTTTTGAAAAAATAATTAGTAGTGGTATATCGATATTTAGAATGACTCTGTTGCTTCGACTTCTTCCACAAATAGTATAAAATGACATCTGTATACTGCACAAATGCATCAACAAGTGTATTTCTGTATCAATGTATTTGTATGTATTAATGTCTTAATCAAAAGATAAAAGTGGGCATGGATTTACCTCATCAGTCCAACACTTATTGGGTTGAGACATTACGTAGAACCAATCCTTCTTCTTTGAAAATGCAACTACAAAATCAAGTTGTTTGAACTCAAGATCTGAGCAATTGGCTAAGTAATTATCGTCCTTGTCTCTTCTGCAATTGTGTAATCATTATAAATAAATATTTAGTGGACAACAAGAAGAAATACTAATAATAGTTGAACGACTGTACTTTTTTGCATGATACTTGTAAAGACCCCTCGTTTATCCATTGCGAGAAGGATGACATTAGTTCAGTTGGACCCTCGCTGTCAATGTTAAAACCTTCAAATGGATATTGTTGCTTCACATCACAACTGACGACTTCGACTTTCTTCTCTTTCTCTTTCACTTTCTCATTCTCTTTCTTCTTCTCTTGCTCCTTCTCCTTCTCCTTCTCCTTGCCTTTTGGGTTTGAGTGTGCTACTGGAGCAATAGTCATTGATTTTTTTCTTTCACTAATTATAGATAGTGATTGGGAAATAGATTTTTTCAACCTACTACACTTTAAAGGTTGTGAAATCTTCTTGGATGTATGGACATCAATATTATAAGTTATTTCCTTAAAAATATCAGTCAGTTTTTTAACATGACTAATAAAATAATCATGTTGTTGCTCACATTCTTCGCATAGACAAAAAGAGCATTTGATGCTAGAAGAGGAAGTAGCACCAATAAAAGATTGAGTTGTTGTCATGGATGAATCTTCTTGTATCATTTCATCTACAAGGTAAATAAAAAAAGGTTGAGAGTTTACAATTGATTATAAAATAATAATGGGTAGCAATTTATACTTATGTTGACACAAATGGATATTATGTTGCCACAGATGTACCTTCTATCGCCACGAATGAATCTTCTGTGGCCACAAATGAATCTTCATGTGCCACAGATTAATCTTTTGTTACTACAGATGACCATTTTGTTGCCCTAAGCCCCGAACACATAGGTGATATGTTCCAACATATGACAACTCTGTTGGAATATATACCAACATATCACTAAAATATAGCAACATACGACACATCTTTCAACAAATGAAATATATGTTGGACACTGAACAAGACTATATTTCTAAAATCATATGAACAAAATGGTCACAAAAAGAACAGTAAAAGCAACAAAAACGAATTTTCACCGAATGTTAACAATACATATACATTTCCTCAAAATTAGGGCTTTTTTGGGTTTGTTGATTTTCTTTCAAAAACAATAAATAAGAGGTACCATTACACCATTATTCAATTTTCACATCTATAGAACGATTTATTGTTCATTAACCCAAGAAATTTTTTTAGTATTATTCGAAAATTGTAAAATCTTTCAAAAAAATGACTTGCCCATTTTAAGTCGAACACAATCTTCAGTTCAGAAAGAGGAGAGAGTCACGACCGGAGATGAGGAGAAAGATAAGATAATGGGGGAGAATATTTGTTTTGATAGTCGGATTTTCGGATTTTCTAAGGAAGAAGAAGAAGAGAAGAGAGAACGTTGGGAGAAGAAGAGAAAATTCTATTTTCTTTTACCTTTCTTTAAATGGTTTGGATAGAATTATAAAAATTGAAAATGAAGTGTTTTTTTGTATTTTATAAAAGATTAGAAAATTTTAAAAATGTTAATTTAATCCCAGATTTGCTTAATTACATTTTAGAGTGGATTTGACACTTTCTTTCTTGGTCAGAAGTAGGGGTGTTCACGGTTTGGTTTGGGTCGGTTATTGGTCAAAACCAAAATCAAACCAATTTAATCGGTTTTAAAATTATCAAAACCAAACCAAACCAAACATAATATATATTTATCGGTTTGGTTGTTTTCGGTTTTGGTTTGGTTTGGTTCGGTTATTAGCCATACATAAAAATAAAAGAAACAATTCATTCAAAACGTGAAAAATGTGACAACAACCCATTCAAACAAAAAAATAGTTAGAATGATTGGCATTATAGAACTTTTGATTATTGAATTTATTGAATAAAACTTCAAAATTCACTATTTTGGCATAGAAGGAAGAGGCAATGACATTTTCAGTCCCACAAAGAATTTCCATAGACACTCATATACATGAAACCAATAAGAAAAATGTTCTCACCTTGGACATTTTTTCTTTCATAAGTAAATTATAAATAATTTTTGATGAAACATATATAAAATCTTTAAAATTGTTTATGAATATAATATATTATGTATGTATAATAATAAAATTTATGTATATAACTTGTTGGTTCGGTTCGGTTATTTCTTCGATTTTTTTCAAACAAAACCATAACCAAACCAAATACTATCGGTTCTTAACAATCTAAAACCAAACCAAACCAAAACCCAAATTAAATCGGTTCATTTAATCGATTTGGTTTGATTTTTCGGTTTGGATCGGTTTTTATCCAAACCATGAACACCCTAGTCAAAAGTGTCGCCAAAAATGAAAGCAAAATTTAATTGTCTCAACTTTCTTTTGTGTCCCGTTAGACAAACACTATCGAGGAAAATTCAACCAAATCAGAGAGATAACACAGAAGCCTAATTTTGGAAATGAGAAAATTCGATCCGTGGCCGATCTTTTTCCGCCGGGAATGGAGCCGCAACTGGCCGTTTCTGGTTGGTTTCGCCGTCACCGGCACTATCATCACCAAGATGTCCCTCGGTTTCACTGGTTTGTTTCTCAGTTATCTCTTTCTACCTATTTATATTGCCTGAATGTCTATACTTTCGTAATTGAATCTGATTTTTTTGGTGATTGTTGATTTTTGCAGAGGAGGATGCAAAGAACTCTCGATTTGCGCAAAAGCATAAGAAGTAAGTCATTGTCCACTTGCAAATTAAATCTAAATTGAATTGATGTAGATGTATGTTGGTTCATATGATGTACTCTTCTTGTGTTTGCCTTTTCTGAGTCTTGAATTATCCATTTGTGTGTTTGTATTGCTTGTGATTATACGGGTGATGAAAAGCTAAAGCACATTGAGCAAAGTTCTGCGACAAGGTTACATTAAAAAAAAGTAGTAATAGATATTACACCGAGTGTTGTTGGGAAACGAGTAATAAAACAAAATATACACATGTTAAAATTTTTTACTATAGTGATATTAATTGCTAGGGGTGTTCAAAACCGAACCGTAACGATAAGCCAACCGCAAAATTGCCTTATTGGTATTGGGTTATCAAATAAACGGTTGGTGAACGGATTATAATTTTATAATTAATGGCTTATTGGTATGAGGGTGGATTATTCAATTTCCTTATCGGATAAACCGTTAACTTGTTAAGAGTTGCCATATTTACACTTAGGTATATTAGCATCATTTGATATATTGTTAGGTATATTAGCATCATTTGATATGTTTCCATAATATATAATTATATATTGTTAGTTCTAAGGCCATAAAGCCAAAAACTTGAAAACCAATTTACTTTTTTGTTATTAACTATTACATTACTATTAATTTATATTTTTTGTAATATAGAAGAATTTTATAATTTAACTGCATTTAAAATAGTGAAAAGAAGTCATTTGTTTAAGGTGCGTTCATTGAGAAAAAAGGTAGAGGTTAGCTGATACACCGCCCGATAAGTGCTAATCCATTATTGAACCAACCGATATCTTATATGTTGGCTAGCCGATTAGTAAATTTAAAAATCGATATCCATTAGGCCAAACCGTTAAGCGAAATTATCCGCCCGATCCATCCGATAAGCAGCTCTATTAGTTGCTCTTCTTCTCCCATGTGTTTTCCCCATTTAAAAAAGGGTTTCCACATAAAATTCTTAGTGTCATTATTTTCTCATTTAATCCCTATTATTTTGATTGTGTATATTTTTTTTATTCCTCGTTTCCCTACAAACTGGTATCAAAGCTTGGTTTGTAATATCTGTATTTTTGGGGAAAACGATGAAAGTCAACACAAGTAGAATGATTACTTTGAATGACGTTAACTATGCCATTTGGAAGGGAAAGGACGATCTGCTCTATGTTAAATTTTTTTATCAATCAATCATTACCACTATAAAGCCTGATAATACAACAGAGAAAGATTGAAATTTGTTGCACAAAAAGGTTTGTGGATTCATTAGACAGTGGATTGATGACAGTATGTTGAACCATATTTCTCTAGAGACAGTAGTAGACACATGTTCGGACCCTATGAGAGTATCTTGAAAGTTCGTATGCTCGAAAGATTGGAAACAACAAATGATCTTGGTAAAGCAAATGTTAAGCTTAAAATATCATGTTGGTTCTCCAATGATAGATCATCTAAATAAATTTCAGGGGATTATGAATAAGTTAATTGTTATGGGCAATAGGCATTAAATTTGATGAAGAAATTCAATGTTTGCTTCTACTTGGTTCCCTACTAGACTCTTGAAAAACATTTAGAACTTCATTATCAATTTTTTCTTCGGATGGTGTGATCTCTATGAATTTTGCCAAGAGTAGCGTCCTGAACAAAGAGATGAGAAGAAAATCTCAAAGAACGGTGACTGATCCCTAGGGGAAGAAAGAAGAATCATGGTTTTCAGAACCGAGAACATAATAAAAGCAAATCCACAGGTAAACTTAAGGATATTGAATGTTATCATTGTGGCATGAAAGGGCACACATGAAGTTTTGCCGGAAGTTGAAGAAAGAGAACAAAGACAAAGAGGAAAAGAAAGAAGAGGCAAAGACTTGAGCAAGAACTCTATGTACCATGCAAGGACAAAACACATCGACATGAGATATCATTGGATTCGTGAGCAAGTGTAGAGTGAATCATTTCACATAAAAACGATTCACACAAGTGAAAGTCTTACGGGTATACCGACCAAAAGATAAGTTTGACCTATGTAGAGAACTTGTCGGCATGAGCTTTCTCTGATAAGATAGAGATACCTCCTTTCAGGTGCGGTGCATGGAACAGGAGGGTGAGGTCAAAAAGGCAATCTTGCAGTAAATATAGACTTTCTGCAAATGGTGACATCTGTCATTTTGAATTGTTATTCCTTGTTTATGTCATCAGTGACATGAAAAGGGATAAAATTTTCTTATAAATAGAGCACTTCTGCTCATCTGTAAACACACCACAGGCAAGAAAAAATATAGATAGAGTAGTAAGGTATTTCAAAGACACTTAAGAAAATAGTTTGTGAATGAAAAATATAGTTTGAACGATATTTTAGTGAGGTGGAAAATTAAAAGAAGGTTATTTCTTTTGAGTGCTCTCTCTATATTTTTTCTTCTCTATGGTGTGTTTACATATGAGCAGAAGTGCTCTATTTATAAAAAATATTGTCCGTTTTGATGTCGCTGATGACATCAATAAGGAACAACAATTTAAAGTGACAGATGCCTACATTTGTACAAAGTAGCAAGAATGCCTTTTCGACATTTTCTGCAATCCTGCAGCAAATGAAGAATTTGTTGCATGGATGGACCCCACAAGTGTAATGTAATGAAAAAAGAATCAAGCATGGCTTCAGGCTCTAGCACTATAATTATGGACTTGTCAGTTGTCACTCTGTTACCTTAATTTGCTAAGAACGAATAGTTTGAGCTTTGAGGATGAGATTTTTCTCTTGTTATAATGCTCTAGACGCAGGGATATCAAAACCTTATGAACTGTAGGAACTATAACCTTATGGCATGGGAGAGGGATGAAATGTTAAAGAAACTATGGGCGGCTAATGAATTGAAATTTAGCTATTAGGTTTTGATGACTGTATAACAAGCTGTTAATTTGCAAAGTTTTGTTGTTGAGGGTAGAAGGCTTATTTATGTTTGCATTCCCTATTGTTAATAGATGATCAAAAGTGAGATACTTTTTGTGAAGTGAGCCAGAGAATTTAATTTTGTAATACAGGAGTGACTTGTGGTTAAAGAAAGGATGTCTGCCATCGAACTATAATATATGTGAATACACAGGCAAACCAACAATCTCAGATGTAGCCAGGCAAAGTATTAAAGTAGGAAACTTTTAGGTGTAACGTAGAGGAAAAAACTTATAAACTCATGCTAAGAACTGCAACCGGGTGGAATAGGATGCAGAGCCTAGTAACAAAGGAAATTTTCAGGTTAATAGACAGAACAAGAGACATGCTAAAAGGTGAGCTGCAACGGCTTGATTGTGAGCTGTACAAAATCTAGAAGATCCGGTTGAGTCTGAAAGAATCTGTAGAAACATAAGATTCAGAGTAGACTTAAATGACTAAATGACTAGGAGTTTGAAGTGATGCGAAATTTCCAAGTTGTAATAATGATACAATTACTTCTGCTACAAAACAGAGATGAATTAAAGAAGAAGGGAGATAAGGCCAGCAATTTATCCGGTAAATCCTACTATTTTAGTTTGTCCAAGGGGAATGTCCCTGTGGAAACATTTCTTAAAGAATTCCACCAAAAATTGCTTTCGTCGAGTGGATTATGGTACATGAGGTCATCCTAACTCCTGGCAACCTGAAGAGCCAGGGATGAATTTTCAGAAATAGATGCTACTTTTTTGAATAGGAGAAGATATGTGGAATATGTTTTTAGCTTGTCTGGAACAGTCATGAAAAGAAAAATTGATGTGCTAATGGTATAAGAAGCAAAGAAGACATGGGAGATAATACCATTGCACATAGCATATCAAAAGTTGGAAGGAGAGAAGCAAAATATAGGAAATGATACCATTGTACACAGCTTATAAAGAAGCAGGAGATGTTTTGAATAGGAAGCAGTGAAGAAAAATACTTAACTGCATGACAACAATTATTTTGGGGAAACCAGGGGTCCAGGACCATGTAGATGATGTGGGTATCTCTGTTGACCTTATCCAAATCTTTTTAATGCGCCACATTGGTGCTTTAGCTTGTTATAAAAAAAAAAAAGTGAAGCGAAACGGACTTTAAAAAGTAACTGACTGTAAAGAAATAGGATTAAGGGGTGTTGAGTTATTGTTCAGAAAGTGGGGAGCTAATTTTACTTTATTTGGTTTTCTCTTGCATAATTAAAGCTTTGATCTACATGGTTTATCCTTTGGGTGCTTCTATTCTAAAAAACTTTAATTGAGTTGGCTAGAGCACAGAAAGAAAAACACGAGTCAGGTGCTGCTGTTGGACTATGTTGCCCAGACTCTTCAAAAATGTCGTTGAGTGTGTGTTAGATCCTCCGAAAGTAGTACATTTTTGGAGGATCCGACATGTTTGCGAGAGCATTTTCCGAGAGTCCGAGCAACATAGCTGCTGGACCTAACTGTGAACCAACTGGGTTTGTGACCCCCCTTGGTCTCTTTTAATGGGCTTATTCCATCACATGGATGGCCAATCTTGAAAATGTTTCCTCTTAGATGATTGGTTTTAGATATTCTTCTTAATATAATTAAACCTGACGTGTTGGGGGTACTATTCTTAGTATAACTCATCGACTGTTAATTGCAAATCAATTTCAAACTTTGGTTCAGCTGTACCATCTGTCATTATAGTGGAATGATATCATCATATGTTGCTTAAAACTAGGAGTTATGCTGAGGAGCAGTGTGATGAAATAGCCCACTTAAGGCAGTCATGATATTATCCCATAGAAGCGGGATAAAAGAATCCTTGGATTATTTTCTCTAATCTCTTAAACTCTCTGGATTATGTTGAACATGAATTTTATCTTTTTTTCGTCATTAGTAAGTTAAACCCAAACCATCTGATCTAATGGCTCTATTAAAGTTTAATGGTGCATCATATCCCATGGTGAAACTTGGTATCTAAAGTAAGATTCCTCAAGACTCCTTGTCTTCCTAATGTAAAGGAAAATTGCATTTCTCTCGGTTCATATTTGTTATACGAAACAATTTCTTATACAACTGGATTATCTTAATATGTAAAGTCACTAAACATCTAATTTGTTCTCTGTGCCTGCAGTTGAATCTCGTCATCCTTAAGGTTGCTGCTGTATCGAGGCTACCTTACTTGACAGCCTTTTTTTTGACTATCAACGACAAATTCTGTATTGCATAAAATGTCTCCTGAATCGTTTGTGGAGAAACTCTTGTTACTGGAAGTTGAAAGCTGCATTTGTTTTCTGTTACTAACTGATCTAAGAATCTTATATCTCCTAATAGTTTTGTTTGTGATTTGCATCTAATCCTAATATTTAAATTGATTTGCATCCTAATATCTTTATTTCTTTGCAAGACAATAAAATCACTATTTTCTATGAGGGCAAACATGATAAATTGGGGCCTAGTGTTTTTTGGTACATGAGTTTTTCTGGTTCAACAGAACATGTCGTCTACATCAATTTCTTCATTGTGTTAAGAGAAAAAAATGAATTTTCCAAAGTTTTTTATACTGTACTTTCATAAAGCCTCTAGTTTCTTACCATGCAAGACAATCGAAAGAGCAAAGATGCATGTAATTAGTTCGATCATTTTCGCATTCTAGTAATGCCAAATAGTTAGTTAGAATTGGAACGATAATAGATAGTTTAATTTGGAACTAAGCTAGTTGATTGAGCATGTTAAATTTGAAGAATCTGAGCAGTGAGCAATGAGCAATGAGCAATGCAGAGTAGTGTAGTAGTACTAGTGCCTCTTCAAATTTGGGAAGATACATATATATATATATATTGAGCCAATGTTCATATATCCAGCAACTACACAAAAATCCACTTCATTGTAATGCTCAGCTCATTTCAACCACAAATTATTTTAGTAAGATATGGTTCCTAAATAGCATTTTTTAGCAATTGGTTCTTTAGGTTGAAATCATGAATTAAATGGCAAAATATCAAACAAAATGACAAGTCACACTCTTTACCTAACACATCCCTCTCAACCTACTCCTATTATCGCACTCGTTTTTCTCATTTGGCCCAAATACGTCTTGACTCGATTTACCAAAATTTATGCAATTTATATATTATACAAAATTTAAGCAAGATTCGAAGGGTGATTTTATATATTTTTGGATAAAGTGCTACATTTGATAAATGGAGAACTCCTATATATATGGAAAAATAAAATTCCCTTTATAGATCAGTTACAGTAAAAATAGCGGGTAAATATTTTTGGGAAGAAAGCATCTCAATTTGACATCTCATACACGTACAAACGTAACCCACCAACCAACCGACGCTCCATTAAGAAGAAGCCTTTCTTCTTCATCATCAATTTTCAGCTCATTGCTCTGCACCTTCCTTTTTTTGTATTTTTGTAACATACACATATTGCGTTTCCTCTCTTTATTTTTGTTAGATTAGATAAGAATATTCAGAGATCGAATTGCTGCTATTGTAATTTTTCTGAAAAAATTATGGATGAATTTGGCGTTTTGGTTGAGAGATATGGCGTCAAAGTTCAGGGAGCCAAGTCAACACCTATGGCTAATTTGAAGGCGAAAAACAATTCCAGCAATGGTTTTCCGTCAAATCTCGGGTTTAATTCGGGTCAAAACACCGGGTACAGCTCCGGGGATCCCTTTGCGAATGATCTCGATGGAATTTTCCGGTCTAAGACTTCACAGAACTATGATGATAATGATATTTTTGGAGGTGTGTTTGCAAATTCAAAGCAGCAGCAGAATAATGTGGATATTGAATCAGTATTGGGAGGTTGGAGTTCGGGTAATAATAATAACTATGCTAGTAAGAATGTGAATGATGATTTTGATTTGTTTGGTACGGAACCAAAGAGGAGTGACTCGATTGATGATTTGTTTGGGAATTTGGGATTGAAATCGGATGGTTTGAAGAAAAATCCTGCTGGAAAGAGGTCAGAAAGTGATGATTTGATTCCTGGATTTGGTGATTTTAGCTCCCCAAGTTATAGGTATGTGTATTTAGTTCAATTGCTTACGATGTGTATTTGAATTTTAATTTTCTTTGCCGTCTGTTTATGTTTTAGCCTCAGAAGTTACAACTTTCCAGTTGATCCACAATTTGTTATGTTTATTTATTGTTAGTTTTGTGAACTGTGACCTGAAACTGAAAGCAAAAAGGTTATTTGCTTCATTATTTAAAGCAAATTATTAGCTGAATCCTAGGCTAGAAACATCATATGGATTTCTGCTATGAGTTGAGAGCTCACTATAAAATTAAAGATGTATTTGGCCTTGCAAATTGAATGTTGAGATGTGAGAAAATACAAAGGTGGTATAGAGAGAGGCTCAAACTTTCTATGAGGTATATGACATAAATCTCTTTTTTACTACTCCCGCCGTTCCACTTTGTTTGTCTGTTTTGACTTGACACGGAGTTTAAGATAATAAATAAGACTTTTGAATCATAGGGTCTTAAACTAAAATTATGTAGAATGTACCAAAATGTCATTTAATTTTGTTGTTTTAAACATGCTATGTGATATGTTGAAATTAAAGAGTTACCAAAAAAGGAAAGAGACATTCTTTTTAAAATGGACTAAAGAGGAAAGTAAGACAAAGACATTGAAATGGAGGGAATATCTTTTTCTCAGCAAATGCTTTTCAAGTGTTTGATTGATTACTACGTGTCCATCAAATTATAGTTTCTTTAGTAGTTCACTAGCATCTTGATCTTGGAGCTGTTTCAGGAGATACCATCTATGCTGAGGCAAAGAATAAAGTTTACCTTCTTAATAACCAAGTGGCTCAAGTTAGGATGTGACCATCTTATGATATAACTAACATTGCCAAATAAACATTTCAAATGTATCAATGTGTAACTCAAAACTACAGTAAAGGGAAGCCTTGCAAAACCAATGGAGTCAACTAACTTTGCCACTTTCTTGTTTTTTTTATATATGTATCACTCTATTCATCCTCAGAAGCATAGTTTAAAACTCTACATATTTCTGTTTGTATAGCAAAAAATCAGACCCGAGGAGTCCTCAGCAATCGAATTCTTCTAAATCAAGCTCCTCTTCACCAGATGATCCATTTTTGGTTTTTGAATCATCCACCAGTGAGGCAAATGCTTCTTCTTGGCCATTTTCAGAATCATCGGAACATCATAATGGAAGTAATCCTGTGACATCTTCAATTGACGAACTTGAAGATTTTGCCAATTTTAAGGTTAGGAGTGATACAACTGAACTACCACATGTTCCTAAAAAGGACTCCTCTGTAAAGAATCCTGTGGACAGAGCACAAGAGAAGTCCAAAAATGTGAGAGTGACAATCAACAAACCGAGCAATATGACAAAGCCAAAATCTGCAGCTGAGGTATTGGATTAAGACTGTTGGGTTCCAAGATTTTGTGTGTACTGATCTGATGAACTAACCTTTTTGGTTCCCATGTCATGTTTCTCCCTATACCCTTCTTCTTTCAGGGCCATATGTCTGCAGGTTTCCATAAGAAGGGAAGGCCAGAAGAAAAGAAGTCATCATTGAGTAAAAAGAACGTGTCGCCTGTGAAAAACCTTGTCGATGACTTAATGTTTTTTGGAGGTGACTTCATCTCTGTAAAAGAAGATACCAATTCTTTTTAGAAATTAATCCATTAGAATTTATTAATGCCAGCATTTCACATTCGTCTTAATTCAAATATGTTATTCATTTCCTGTTGTTATTTATTCGCCGTTGTGTACATGCAGACTCTGCTCCTTCCTCTGAGGCATTTCAGGAAGTTGAGGATGAAAGTGAAGAAAGAAGAAATGCTAGGTTGAAACATCATTTGAAGACCCAAGAGCGCATGGTAATCTTTCTTATAACTATCCCTTTAACTGAGTATTGTGCTACCGTTTCCTCGTTACTTGCAATAACCTTTTTATTATTGGATGAGTATAGTGCTAGCATATTCACATAACTTGCAATAACCTTCCTATTTTTAGATGCATTAAGTCATCCTTGAATCTACTTAAAATGAATGGGTTTGAAGTTGTTTTTTTATGTGTGGCTATTTGAGAAATTGAGCTACATTGAGAAAAGAAAAATCTGTATATGATTTGGTATTTGCTTGTGATTTTTATTAAACTGAGAAGCTTTAAAGATGTAGTAGAATAGGATGCGTGAAGAACTCCTGGGTGGTGAGTTTGGCCTGTGATGGTATCTCCTGAACTATCATTCTCCTTAGATGCCAAGTTTCTCTTTAATGCATTGGATCAGACTTAAGATGGAGAGAGGGAGGGAGGAAGAAGCTTTTGTCAAGTACAGACCACAGTCATCAAAAATAATAAATAGAGGGATGTTCTAAGTTCCATAGTAGTTTACTAGTAAACATTCTAAAACCATGCAAATCTCTTGTTTAATGGGTTACATTCTCGAGATTGGTTTCCTTTGTTATTTGTGCAACTTTTATATTACCTTTTCTAGAGGCAGAATCGGGATTTGAAGTTTATTGGTTCTAGGATCTAACCCTTTGGAGTTGTTGGGTTCTAAATTTATAATTTGTACTTATTAAATAGATTTTTCAAAATTCAGGGTTTGGGCCAAAGTTACTAGGTTCTGCCGAACCCGTACCGTAAACTGTACATCTGACCTTGACCTTTCTCATTGTAGTGTAATCTTGAGTATAGAAATGGGCTTTAACTAACAGTTGGAATTCCATTTTTGAGGTTGAGAAATGAAAAAGAAACAAAAAGTAAAAAAAGGTGTAGTGTTCGGAAGGAGTAAGGTTTCCTTTGATATGTTTGAGTTGTTTGCTATGCTACACGGATCCTTTGTTTCCTCTCTTGAAGCGGTGTCCATCCACATTACACCAGTGCCTGAACGGGATTCGTATACTATTGCGTCATTATATGGAGGATCCTCGACTGGCCGTGAGTTGAAAATGGAAGGCTGACTAACGGAGAAGAAGATGACAAGAGAGAGCAAAAAGTATAAACCTGGTTCATTGCTGTCGTCTGTTTGTCCACCCATCTCATCAATCGCTTCCCTCATGGCTTGCTCATCCTTGAGGGTAGCTAAGCCAAAACTCAGTGAAAAGAAACTAACAGAAAAGAAGAGGAAAGAAGAGCCTTTAGTCAGCATGAGGGTTAAAGATTAAGAGAAAAAGAACAAAGGAATTCTGTATGAGAAGTATTTTCATTTTGAAGCCAAAGAATCATGAACCCTCCTCTGAGGAAGAAGATCTAGGGAGATGAATGGAAATGCGCGAAGAGAATTTTTAGATGTGGGAGCTACAGATTGGAAAGTTGTTGAATTGGAGTAGATGTGCCCTTCTTCTGGACTAGGTGTCGGCTGTTGTTTTGTTTAAAAAAGGTTTCTTCAGCCAACTTGATCCACATACCCTAACAATCCTGTACACTTATATATCTTATTGGGTTTAGGCTTTAGAAGCCACCACAGGTTCAAGGAAGTCCATCTTGCTTTATGGAAAGAAGTCCAGTATCTGCATTTTGAGTTGAGGAAAATAGAAAAAAACATTTAAAAATTGAAATAGACAAGTAACGAGATGAGCTCAATTATAGAAAATCAAGTGGAGTGTAATTAATTGCTTCAGTCTACTCAATTTTGTTGCTACATTTTTAACAGCTCTATGTTTTTGGAGTTGAACATAAATCTTAGCTGCACCTAAGCATCCTTAGTCTGTAACCATACTTCTATTCATATCCCAAAAATTCTAAAGTTTAGGTGACGGCAAATCTGACTTCTAGTTCAGTTGTTTTTTGCATCTCAGAATGCTTCCAGAGAGGGGTGCATATATAAAAGGATGGAAATGCTATTCCTAGGTGTTATTTTGAAGTGAAGTTGCATTGGTTATTTTTTACCGCATCTGATTCTATTTCTTTATGTGATCAGGCTAAGGCTTTGGCTGAGAAGACTCAGCGTGATCTTCAGTCTCAGAATGAGCAGGAAGAGAAGCATGTAAGTTTCTGCTGATTGCTTAAAGCTGCCAATAACTGATTTTCACAGGTTGCATGAATTCTTCTAGGGAACAAAGCAAACGTAAGGAAGATTATTGGCTGTGGAAATTATCCTCCCTCACTTTCCTTTTGGCTTTCTCTCATCTCCCCGTCTCTAGTTTTCTTTATTTTTTGATCTACAATGAAACCATGCATTAAGCCTGCTCGAACATTCTGTATATGTTTTTCCCTTTAATTTTGAACAAACTGCTTACTGCAGAGGCTTGCTGATACGCTGAACTATGACATAAAACGTTGGGCTACTGGAAAGGAAGGCAACCTCCGGGCGTTGCTGTCGTCACTACAACATGTATGTAACTAGCTAATCTCGAAAGACATTTTAGACCTGTTAGAAAACTTTCAAGACATAGTGAGATCTGAGTTTACTGCTTTCTATCAAGCCAGTTTAGATACCTCCTCAATTTACTTCAATTTCAATCCATAATCCACACTTGGATTCATGTTGGGTAAAAATGGAACTAAGCTGGGTAAAATTGCTCTAGATTTGCTTCTTACAAGTGTGGATGGAAGTAGTTCCCAGGCACTAGCACTGCTATAAAATTTTGTTCCTCGTCTTTTGACCTTATTGCCAGTTTGATGTTTGCTCTAGCTTTTGTGTCATTTGAGCATCCATTAGATTACCTATCTTTTTTCTGTGATGCCATTGGTATGGTTGAATCTGTTATTTCTGAACTGTTGCTTTAAGAATCGATGCTCTTCAGTTTAAATCTAGTATTGCATGGAACTTCATGCACAAAGCAAACATGAGAAGACGATCATATTTCATATACGTCTCTTCTGTTGATAGCTTATAATATCGCCAGTAGTTATGGACTTTTGCAAGGCCTACATAGTTATAAGCATAGTTTTTGCTATGTTAAAAATATTGTATCAAGTTCTTGAAGTAATCCTTTGCAACTATTGAATGCTATGAAGGTATTGTGGCCTGAATGCGGTTGGCAGCCAGTTTCATTGACTGATTTGATCACTTCTATATCTGTCAAAAAAATTTATCACAAGGCAACTTTATGTGTCCACCCAGACAAAGTTCAACAAAAAGGGGCCACAGTTCGGCAGAAGTATATTGCTGAGAAGGTTTTTGATCTTCTCAAGGTACGTATATAGCTTATCAAGTGATGAAGTTCATATTTTTAATCCTCATTTCTGACATGTATATGTTTGTCATCTGGTCCATGTATTAGTTATTTGTGTGTGGTGTAAATAATAAAGTAGTGGTGGTTAATTGAGAATAACAATACATAAAATATTATGCAAAGATTAGCTACTTTAAGGGGTCGTTTGGTAGAATGTATAAAAATAATGCTCAATAGAGTGTATTAGTAATACTTGTATTAGTTATGCATAGATTATTTCTTATGCATTTTGGTTATGCATATTGGTGTATTAAAAATAGTATGAATTGTATAAAAATATTTATTTACAAAAGTATCCTCCATAATTATGGTGGAAAAGATGTAAAAGTGCTTTTGAGGGGTAATTGGGTCTTTAACCATGCTAATGCATGTATTAAATCCCTTTGCATTACTAATATCTAGAAATTCATGGTGTTAGTAATACACTCCTCAATACATAACAGAGTGTATAATTAATGCAAGCATTAGTTATACACAGCATGAAATGTGTACCAAACAAGGGACTACTAATACACAAAGCACACTCTACCAAACGACCCCTAAGAGCATTTTGTCTTAAGATGATTTTTATACAACAATGTATTGTTGATGCATATTGTTATGCCTCTCTATCACACATAAAATATTTCATGAAGTCCCCCATAACTCGTGTTGGTATCAAGTTTAAACTACATTAATTATGCCTGATTGCTTTTCGTTATTAGTCCAGCTAAACACTGCATTAATTATTTTTTTATGGGTCCAACCAAACATTATATTATTTATTTGAAATCTTATGGAGGGATTATCTTTACTACTGATCCAACAAAAAGCCCCTTAATGAGTAAATTATATGGGAGCACAATAAGGGCTCTAAAAATATGTTGGCCTTGCAGTGAACCATTTTTCTTTTATCCGAAAGAAAAATACTTCATCACAGCCAACTCAATGTTCAGAGACTTCACTTTTTCTATGGAAAAATAGATTTTGTTGATTTAGCTTTGGTCCTGTTAAAAGTTCATATTCAATTGTTAGGTTAAGGGTTGATACCATTAAAATTTGATATTGGGAAAGAAAATCACTTAATATACTAGGTGCACGAACAATTCTTCATAAGTTCAGGTCGAATGAATTTGATAATTGGGTTCAACTAGTGATCCATATCATAAATGATGCTTCTAATTTTGACCCAATAAAATGATGATGCTAAGGCAATATAATTCTTTCCCAAGGTGTATATATGATATTTTGGTTAACTGCATATAATGCATGCACTTTTAGCATTGTTTATAAAGGGGGGCTGAAATAGTTGAGAAATTAGGATATCAATATAGGAGATTTCAATTTTATAATTAGTGGTCAGATTTAGATATTGCAGCTCAAGATATATTTTTTGCTTGCATTTAAGAGAAGATTTTGTTTCTGGCGAACTCAAATGCAAAATTTAAAATTGCTGTTTGACAAACAAAATGAATTTGAATGATCGTTATACTGAAGAAGAGAAGTTGAAGCTTGATTTGAACAAAAAATCAACCCATATTTACTGAAACTGCCATATGAAATAGAGTAATAGCAATTGACTTCAACAGAAAACATAAAACAAGGGAAGAAGGTTTTTAAGGGTAAGGTTTTATTTTCTCCTGAGAACTGTGGAGGCAGGGACTCTGGTCAGGGAGGAGTAGAGTAGAGATAAGTGTTAGCTGCTCAATTTGGATAGGAATAGATATCATTGAGTTCATCGAAGAAAGAGAAGTAGGTCGACTTTTCAGAAAGATTGAAGAGTAGTTCCACTAATAAAAGTTATTCCTCTTTATAATTTAAATGACACCTCGTAGAAAATCCATCTAAATAAGTTAAGACAAATGCTTAGTTTGCTTGGCAGTTCAAATTTACCATGTACTGTTGCGCTTGCCCCTGCCATGTACTGTTATCAAAATCTGAATAATTTTGGCTTGTTTGTTCTTATGAATTTTACAGTAAATGAATCTAGTGCCTGTATATGGCATTCTCCACATCATCCTTGTGGAGGGACTATGGAATCCATATAATTAATTCAGCCGTAATCTTTGAGGGAAGGATTCAAATTTTTTTGTACACCAAAAAAAATCTCCTTCGTATGTTTAGGGGGGGACGAATAAAAAGAAAATTATCACAGATCACTTCTACAGTGTTTCCATCTCTATTGAGAAGTAACTACTACATCTTTTCCTTTGGTTAACATTAACTTCCGTATCTCTTGGAAAGTAGCTACAACAACTTATCCTTTTGTACTAATTGAAACCAGAGTGAATGAGCTAGTCTATGTTTGTAGCATATACACTCATGTTTCACAACATGTAGTTCTGCATTTCAAAGGTGCCAATTGTTATACTGTCTCAGTTTGGTATTGTGTTTTCTAGTGTGGAGTAAGTAGTGTGTGTAGTATGTTCAGGAATCATCAGTGATGCTGTTCTAAATTGGATTCTGAAATTTGACTATAGGAAGCATGGAATAAATTCAACTCAGAGGAGCTAAGATGAGTTCGAACTGCTTTAAAAACTCCTTACTGAAAGCAGATAATGAACTGTCCTTGCTTGGAAGTGAAGCAACGATGTACGAATGTTGTAATAGTTGTGCGAATCTGCTCGACTTTACTGTTTTGGTGGACTGACACGATACTTAGTTGCTTCACCGGGAATTAGTGCTATCACGAATGTGCATGTTTACAATCTCCGGCTATGTATTTAAAACCGAGTAGATTTTTGTTCGTGTGATTTTTATTTTTTTTTCTTTTGCAGTTGTCACATACATATGGATATCTTCATCAGCAACTGTAGGTTTTTGTGCATAATTTGTTGATTTAGGTTTAACACCATGGTTGGTGACATGTTGCGTGCGATATTAATACCTATCTGAGGTGTGTGTTACAATTGAGGTTGAAAGTCACCAGTAATTTCCATGAAATTGTTTGCTAAAAGTAGAGGCCTGGATTTGTGGTGTTGGCCAGTAAATAACTATTTTTTCCTTTGTAGATCGTGTCAGTGTTGTTCAAATCAATTCCTTCATATTATCTTGCTAAAAGTTTTCTCCTCCATAACGTTTGAAAAGGAAATCGTAAGATATGAAACACGTTATAAACACATTATAAATCATTTCTATGTATGGTATAATAAAAAATCTTAAGGATAATATATATATTTCTTTTAAAATGTAAAGTGCTTATGGGGCATGTATATGTAAATCATATTCAATAGTCTGGTATAACCTTAGGATTAGAAATAACAATAATATACCTTGAAATATATGTGGTATATCATATTGCAAATTGTAATATTGTGTTTGTATTTTTTTTTCAATTTCAGCGGTGTATGTGATAAGTCATATAATAGCATACATATTAAATATATTGCACATATTTAAATAATATGTATAACTATTTTGTTTAGTATTATATTATACATGCAATTTGTATGTTTTATTTTTAATTACTAAATTATATATAAAGATATTGATGGAATATTAACATTGTATAAAATAGTCCCAGTATAATATACTTGAAATATAATAATATTATTTTTTTTGAAAGTTTATCAACATAAAAAAATAAAATTTGATGAATCAAAGTACATCAAAACTATCACTTTTTAAGCAAATTTTATACCTGAATTATCCATTGTTCTACCTACTTAAACACCACCACTCCTTTTGTATTAAAATATATCTCAATGTTGAGTTGGCCAAATGTTTATTTCCAATCAACAACAGACACATGTAGGCAAACTCAACATCAAGGTGTATTTTAATGCAAATGTTGTGATAAAATGATAGTTGAGGGATGAAATCCATAAGAAAAAAAAAAAAAGTGATAAGTAAATAGTATAATGGATGGTTGAAGTATGAAACCCACGAAAAAGGTGATAGTTTAAGTATGATTTTTACCATTAACAATTGATGTCAAAAAGTTGGGAGAAAATATGTTTACCCGAGAAGAATTCATTTACCACTAATATCACTTTTGACTCAACAAATTTATCAGTGTAGATTCCTGGTATTTGAATCAATCCTAGCTAGAGTTTGAAGTAATACACTATTTATGAAACTCAAATAACCTGCTGCTAATTCCTGCTCTATATAGATGCAAACCAGACAAGGTTGCAACAGTAATACTGGTATTTGCAGATGCAAATAAGACATCACCTTCAGCAACTACCTCGTTCGATGATGTGGTCATCGTTCCCTCTCCTTCCACCACCAAATAAATGGAAGGACCAGGAATGGAAGGAAATACTGTAGTTGAGTTTTGTGGAAGAATGCAACGGTCCACCTCGAATTCATCAAAGGGAGGGAGGTATCTCTTTGTGTAGGGATCAACCACAGTACCTTTCAGAATATCAGGAAAACCCTGCAACAGAAGAACTGATTCAGATTCATATAGGCAAAGAAACGCCCAACGCATTTGCATTTCATTTTAGAGAAGAAATTGGCGAAAACACTATAAAATCTTCTCATAGTGAAAAGACACCCGACTTAAACACCCATGTACAACAATTCCTCGTAAAATGTGGCTCTAATGAAGTAAAAATGTAATGGTGTCTGACTATACCTGTTTGTATGTGAGCATTGAACAAAGTATCTTAACATCTCGTTGCTTTGGAGTTAGACCAGCACGTATCACGTTATCTGAATTTGCCATGCATTCAACAGATTCACCGTATAAATATGCATGAGGTTCATTTGAGCCTAAATATAAAGCTTCACCAGGGTTGAGTTTCACATAATTTAACAAGTATGCAGCTAAGACACCAACATCAGCTGGATACTGCTTCTCAAGTTGTAGAATCAGTTGTTCTTTGTCAGTTAGATGCCTCGCCTACAAACATTAAAGATGAATACACATATTCATAAAAATAAGAGACAATCGAAAAGCTGAGTTTAAGCAGCAAGAGTTACAGTTAACATGCCGGAGGAGACCGTAAGCAGTTCAGCTCAACCACATAATTCACATAAGAATTATGCATCAACAGAAGTAATAGAAACTCAAATCAACATGTCTCCCATCTTTTCCAAAAAGACAGAACTTGATGCAGCAGATACAGTCAAGAGTGACTATTGCGAATGTAAAAAAAAAATTGACGCATCCAAGGTTCAACCACAATAGAGAATAAAAGAAGAAAACTGAATCATTCACATTACAAGGATAAGTACAGCAACTTAGATATAAATCAATTCCAAACAAATTAGCTCCTTTGCAGAAAATTGCACAACAAAAGCAACTTGATGGAGCTTATAACAATTCTGTTTCAGCTAACCCATACACAGTAACATGTAAGAGAACAAGTTTTTTTCCTTTCTTTTTAGTGAATAACAATGATAAGATAGATCAGCTGCAGAATTAAAATCCAGAAATCTCATATCCAAATTAGTAAAACCTTTTGATACTCTAGTCCCTCAAATTCTTCAGAAATGAACTTATTTTACATTCTCTGCCAGTGCAATCCACATTCCGCCCATCTAAAAGTTGAAATGTAAGTTAGTAGAGGCATGCAAGCACATCTTTACGTTAAGAAATTGGTCTACACAAACACATAAAGTATGACAATAAAGACAAAGTTTTTCAAAAACCTAAGAGAATTACTGTCCAAATGGACAAGTTACGACTACACAGAATAACAAAAAGGACACATCCAACTAATGCCCAAGTATTACAAAAAAATTATGCTTCCACTTGGTCACAGATCAATTTGGATTACCTGGCCTTCAAAGTTTAGGCGACTAATCAGCTTGGCTAACACTTCAGCAGTCACATCCTTGCAAACAGTCATTATGTCAGTAAATACTGATTGTAGTAGTAATCTAATTTCCTCCTTCCCATCATCCTCATTCAAGTTTAAGACATGCTCTGCTTTTGCATTACCAACCACTTCCACAATCTCAGGTGTAGTACGAACAATCACTTTGAGCTCCTGGAAAAAATTCAATATACTTGTTATCACAATCAAAAAATAATAATTCTAATTAGTCATGTACTCGTGTTAGTATAGCTAAGGTCCTAAACAGACTTGAAAAATACAAGAGTAAAAAAGCTATGATGAAATATTGAAGAAAAGAAAAATATTGACAGCAAAAACATTAAAGATAACCAAAGTAAATAAACGACAATAGTAATAATTGAAGAATAAGATGATAATAATAATTATAAAAATAATAAGAATAATAATGGCAAGGAGAGGAGGGAATAGAGAAGGTGATCTAAACTAGAACTATCCTCTCCAATAGAAAAGAGAGAAGTCGCTCGACTACTTACTAACCTTCTGCCCTAATCTTTGACCTCACTGCTCTCATATTAGGGTCATGTCCTCGGTGAGCTAGAGATATGACATGTCCTGTCTAATCACCTCTCCTCAATTCTTCATTGGTCTACCTCCACCTCTCCTAAGACCTATCACTGCCAACCTCTCGCACCTTTTCATTCGGGTATTTGTGCTCCTCCACTTCATGTACCCAAACCATCTCAGTCTCGCTTCCCTTTTTTTGTCCACCATGAAGCCATTTCCACCTTGCCCCATATATCTCTGTTCCTACTCTTGTCAGAGATTACATACCATTAGAAAATATAGACAACTTCAAGTACTTTTTGAATTTACTTTTAGTTTGTATTTTAGTGGCTCTAGATGAGTATAAATGAAGCGACGTGGCCAATGAGGATTCATATAGTCAACCATAACTTGTTTGGAATTGAGACGTAGTTATTATAGTCATGGAACTTAAGTCTATTCCATCAACTCAAGTGAAGGAGCACAATAACTTTGTTTATCAAGAAAATCACATGAATAAAGTATATACTACTGCCTGTCCTTCCAATGGTGGATCTACATCAATTCCTGCCTATTGGTTTGAACTATACATTTATAGTTGATTTTTTTAATAAAAATATGTTTACACTAAAGTCCTACTCATTGTCATTGCAGCTCCATACTCGCTTACTTAAAATCTTTGGATCCAACTCTATCAGCCGCCCTACCCCATTTCTAGATCTCTCATAACAAGAAGCTTGTCAACCAGAATAAACATAATTGGACAACTTTTGAACATAAAAAAAAAGAAAAAAGCAAGCTATGCTAGTTTCTTAACACGTGTTTTAACCAGCATACGCAGTTAGGGGCCTTTCATTTCACCTAGACAAGGAAGGAGGGGATGAAAAATGCTACCTGGAACTCTTTTTCCTATTTTAGATAATTTTACTCCCTTAAGTTACAATTTTGACATCTGGTTGTCAGAGGAGGAACCACAAGCTCAGTTTCATACTATTATTTTTTTAAAAAAAGAAATGTTTAAATAGTACAAAACAAAACAAATATCTACTTTTAAACAATTCACAACAATTGTTTAATAGGACAGGTTCACACTCATGATATTGCCAATGAAAAAAAGCCTAAGAAACAATCAGATTTCGAATGAGAAGTACGTGTACATAGAAAATGGGCACCGTAGCCTCTAGACTGCACCACATACACTTTTTTAATAACCAAGGAATCCGTCAGGGGCCAACCCTTAGGACAAACCTAGCCTTCAAAACACAGGGATAATGGGCCCCTCCCTCTACCCCTCTCCACTTAAATACAAGGTTTAGTTCGCATGGCGCATAGCTCAAACTTGTAACCAAAGCTATAAGTCCCTTAACCTTTCACTTGAACTAATCTTAGGTCCCCAGATTATTACATAAAAGTGCTTCTATCACTAACAGAATCACTTCTAAGGAATAGTAAATTTATATGCACCTGAA